GAGTTACAGTTGTGAGCTGTCATGTGGGTGCTGGGAATAGAACCTGGGTCCTCTGGAAGAGCAGCTTGTGCTGTTAACCACTCAGCTATCTCTCCAGCCCCCTTAAAGATTTATTTTTATTTTAAATTACGTGTATGGGTGTCTCTCTTTGTGGGGGTATGTGCATACAAATGTGGGTGCCTGCTGAGGCTGAGGTTGTAGGTTGGGGGTCACCTAAAGTGGGTACTGAAACCGAACTAGGGTCCTCTGCAAGAAAAGTAAACATTCTCAACCTCTGAGCCATCTCTCCAGCTCCAAGAGCATCTTTTTATAAAGAACTCAAGGTTCAGAGTGGTAAAACAACTTGCCTGAAGTCACACAGCAATTTTCCAGCCTGGCTAAGGTTTGAACTGAAGGCTTTCTGTTTTCAGTATTCATAGATTTTTGCTCCACCCACCTCCACTCCCCCAGAAAGTTAGTCCATTTTTGTAGGAGTTGAGAATAAGGCCAGCACCTGTCAAAGCTTAGAAAGAGGCAGTCTCAAGAATGATGGAGGATTCAGCTGTCATTGAAAGACTGGTGGGGTTTGCAGAACCTCAGGCGAGGCTGGGAAAGAAGGGGTGTGGACAGGAGGACCCACTGGAGCAGAGGTCATGGAGGTGGGAAGGCACTGGGTGGTGCCCCTTGTAATGATCATACAACAGTGACTACTGAGTTGTCTCTCTGCTTCTTGTTTGATCCCATGAAGCCCTGTGGTGACCCCACTTCACAGATGGGAAAGTGGAGGCACCTTCACACAGTATTCACACACAGGGCAGAGTGCCTGGCTTGGAGACAGACAGATTGAGCTCAGATCTGGGCCCTCTGCACTCTGCCTGAGAGTCCACAAGTGTAACTTACCTTCTGAGAGTCTGTGTCAGGGTGGCATTGAGGGAAAAATCAGGACACTGCCCAGTGTGTGGCACAGGGGTTGGGCTCTGCATCATGCCTGGTGTTGCCTCCCAAACTCTGCCCACTCCTCGGCGGTTCTGCCACTTGATTCCACGGTAATTCTGGGTAAAGCTTGGTAGGAATCATGAGATCATCACCACAGAGGTTGTATGTGTGTCTGTATGTCTGTATGTGTGTGTGTCTGTATGTGTGTGTGTGTCTGTATGTGTGTGTCTGTGTGTGTGTGTGTCTATATGTGTGTGTGTCTGAGTGTGTCTGTGTGTGTGTGAGTGTACATCTGTGTGTGTGTCTATATGTGTGTGTGCGTGTGTGTGTGTCTGTATGTCTGTATGTGTGTGTGTCTGAGTGTGTCTGTGTGTGAGTGTACATCTGTGTGTGTGTCTGTATATGTGTGTGTGCGTGTGTGTGTATGTATGTATGTGTGTATGTATGTATGTGTGTGTGTGTGTGTGTGTGTGTATATACCTACCTCCCCTGGGACCCTGTGAGCTGGGTAGCTGTGGTAGGGATGTGAGCTGGAGCATGCTCAGGGTTGGGCCTGTGTTGACAACTTGTGTGCCCCAGGAAGCTGAGGAGTCCTCACTTAGCACCAGCATCACCTGGGGTCCTCGTTGAGGTCTCCATAAGCTTGTAAATGTGTCACTAATGGCTCCTACCTTGGACAGATGCTAGGAGCTGGTTGCAGGATTGGGGTCCTGCTTGCTTAGCTGTAAAGTCCTCAGGCCCACCACAAGCCACACCTTAGCTGGGATGCAGGTGCCTCCTCAGTGAACCCTGTTTCCTCTCTACCTGCTGTCTCAGGTAGACAACTTGGGGGATGAGTTCTAGTATTGATTACAAAGTCGGTAAAGCACCCTGGACACATGTTGGAAGAGCACAGTCAAGTCTTAGCTTTGCCTGACAGTCTGATACTGTCTCATTTATCTACAGAACAGGGACCCTCCAGTGTCATACTGACCATCAAAGCGATGGAAGGGAGCCCTCTCCTCTAGGCCGCCTGCCCTCTCTGGGTCCTCCAGAGCTGTGCACACGATAATTCTCAATGTGTTCTCTCTCCCCTCCCCCGAGTGGATATTCATGTCAGATGTGACAGGGAGGGAGACAACTGAAGCAGGGACTCAAGGGTGGCAGTCACTCTGGTCAGGCTGTTTAGCCCTCTGAGGGTACAGCTATCCACAATATAGCCCATAGGTGCCTCTGTGTGGTGGCCCTGGCACCTTAACCAAAGGGGTGGCTCTGTGTGTCGATCCCACACAGCAGCTTGAAGAGAAGGGTCTAGGAGCTGCCCAGTATCTGTCCTGATAGTCTTGGAACCAGAATATAGACAGGAAAAGTTAAGACCTCACACTCCCTGGCACTGAAGCTGCCAGAGTGGCTTTGTCTCCACCCACTGGGACAGAACTAGCACTCATTTCACTTTACAGGTTGGAAGGGGGCCTGTGATTAAGGTCAGAGTGTCAACCTATCTTGGCTTGGGGACCTCCTGTTAGGTGGTCTAAATCCTTAGGAGCCATTCCTGGGGCCAGGTGATGGGGTGCCTTGGTGGCTGGAAGTTCCTACCTTTCTTCCTGTTACTGTCACTATCAGAAGACCTGCCGCACTCGTGTGTGTGTGTGTGTGTGTGTGTGTGTGTGTGTGTGTGTGTAGTTCTGTGACCATGTAACAGCTGTGTAAGCTCCATGACCACCATCATTATTTAGAGAAGGTTTTTGTCAACATGAGCACTTCTTCAGGCCTCTATGTGGTCAAGCCTCTTCCCTCAGCCCCAAACTCTGAGGGCCCAGCCTTTGCCTGTCCAGTGTCACCAAGGTGCAGTCACGTAGCAGGGGACCTTTTGTGCTGGCTTTTCCACTTTTTCCAGAAGCATGCTTGGGTGAGTTGGGGATGACCACGAATCAAGCCGCTATATACTGTGTGCAGATCATGGCTGTGTTCTCACCTCACAGGGGGACAGGCTGAAGTGTGAATGTTCCGTGGCATGTGGCTTCTCAGACAGACTGACAACCTGTTTTCACCTTCCTCTGACTGCATCCCAGCAGCAAACGGGGGCCGAGAGCTCCATGTATGTTCCTGGAGGGATCCGCTTGTGTGTGTGTGTGTGCCAGAGGATGTTGTATGTCCTGGTCTGATGCTCTCTGTCTTAGTCCCTTAGAGAGAGAAAATCCTCGGCATTCCTTCTGCATCTGTCCTACTCAGCGCTGGGATTACTGGCACTAGTGTGGCTATGCCTGGATTTTTATGTGGTTACTAGGGATTTGAACTTGGATTCTCACCCTTGCATAGCAAGCAATCTTAGCCACTGAGCCATCTCTCCAGCCCCAGCAGCAGGAAACTAAGATTCAAGGTGTCTGGGGCCAGCTGGGTGCCTCCTTCAGCCATGGTATCTGGAATTACTGCTACACCCTGCCCTTGGGATGACCTCCCATCATCCACACTACCTAAAGGCCACTTAGGAAGCCCCTTTCAACTCTCTGGGACTCCTGAGATATCCCAGTCCTTGTGGCCTGATGGCTGTCAGGGTCCTTGCACCTTTGGACAGTTCTAGAACATCTTGTCTTCCTGGAGATAGCAAAGCATCCCTTTCTCATGCTAGCCCCCCCCCCCCCACACACACACATTCACACTCTGCTCCGCAGGCCTGGCACATAAGAATATGCTCTAGAGAAACCCAGAAACCCAGAGGAGTGTGCCCAAGGGTCACAGCTGGTGCTAGGCTGTGGAGCATGGTGTCTGGGGCCCTCAAGAGAAGGGAGCAGAGATGCAAAGTGACACAAACCAAAGCAAGTGTCCTGACAGGCTCGGCCTCCCAGGCCTCCAGGGCTCTCCACTCTTCTCGTCTCCATGTCTGTCTTTCCCTCCTGTGCTGAGAGAGAGGAAGGAGTCTGTGCAGAGCTGCTGCTAGCCCTGTCTCGTGCATTATTAAGTTGTTGTCTCATGAGGGCCAAACTCTGAAACACCCTAGAAGCCTGCTATAGGTGGAGGTGTCCCCTCCACCCCCTTCTGCCCTGACGTCCTCCATGGCTGTTTGCTTAAGGTGACAGGATGGGCAGGCTCCATTTTCTGTAAGACTGATCTAGGGAAGAAAGGGCATCCTTGGGGCAGCCCACATAAGGATGCCACCCAGCTGCAGACCCCGAGACACAGGCCAACCAGTGTTCCAGAGAGGGAAGTGCTGTCTAGCCAAGGAGTGGCAGATAAGCCACCAGACACCTTTCCCGTGGTCTTGCCTGTTTCTATGTCTTCAGGCTACTGCTAGCGGCACATCTGTAAAGTGCTTGCCCCTCCTCCAAGCCTGTCCTGCCCACACCTTTGTCTGGTGTCCCCAGTGCTACTGGCATGGGCAGGGTTAAGCAGCAGTGGAGCCTGTGCCACATAAAGATAACCTTGAGGGACAATTATGTCCTTGACACTGAGGCTGACGTCATCTTTATGGTCACAAGTCCACCATTGCCCGGTGTCTCCAGCTGAGTCCCAGTGCTACCCCGTCTCTTCCTCCTCCAGAGGCCTTCCCGAGAGGCAAGCCTCCTGGTGGTTCTTGGGGCGGTGGCTGCTGTGTGTCATTTAGTTCGGTGACCTCCATCCATGCCTGTGTCCTGAGAAGGACTGCTGGCTTCAGGACGAGAGCCATGGATGCTTCTTGTTTGCAGTTCCAGTTCCAAGGACAGAACTTGCTATTTCGTAGGTCATGAATGAGTATGAATAAGTAAATGAATGAAAGAAAGGAAGTCTGGGAGTGGCAGCAAGTGGTGACAGGCCACCATGGGTGGTAGTGGGAGGAGGGAACAAATCGTAATGTAAATGTCTGATATACAGGATATCTGATATGCCACCTCCAAAGGGGTCACGACCCCAGGTTGAGAACCACTTGGTGGCAGTGGCTGGGGACAAAGTGGACAGTGGCAGGAAGGCTGGTGGTCACAGCTGGCTGAACTGGTGAAGGCGTAATTGCTGAGCAATTGCAGTGAGTGGCCCCAGTTTCTTCCCTGGACCCTCCCTTAGGAGACCTCCCCACCCTGACCTGGCTCGTGGTCCTGTTAAGTCCTCTGACACTATGACCTGTTCCTTTGCAGACTCCATCGGGGGCTCCTTCCCGGTCCCCTCTCACCGATGCCATCACAAGCAGAAGCATTGCTCGCCTGCGCTGTCAGGTGGGGGGCTCCCGGCCACGCCGCTGCTCTTCCACCCCCACACTAAGGGTTCCCAGATCCTCATGGACCTCAGCCACAAGGCCGTCAAGAGGCAGGCCAGCTTCTGCAATGCCATCACCTTCAGTAACCGGCCAGTGCTCATCTACGAGCAAGTCAGGTTGAAGGTGGGCACCCCCAGACCCCTGCCTTTGACCTCTTTACTGCCATGGTCTGCTGTTCCGCTACCAGCCTGCCCCTCTGCTTCTTGCGGGTCTCTCATCCTTTCTCCTTTCCCAGCCTCCCTGGGTAGCAAGAGTCAGTGGGCGTGACCTTCACCAACCTATAGGAAGGCCCCACGGGCAGGGTGGTGGGCGGGAATGAGCCACATAATGAGTTTTCTGGCTGTAGGGCACTCCCAAGTGTTAGCTTCGGGTGATCCATAGAGTGCCCACCCCTTCCCCCTCGGTCATCTGACCAAGGAAGAGGCTGAGGCTCCTCACTCCCTGTGGCCAGATCACCAAGAAGCAATGCTGTTGGAGTGGGGCCCTGCGACTTGGCTTCACCAGCAAGGACCCTTCCCGCATCCACCCCGACTCACTTCCCAAGTACGCCTGCCCTGACCTGGTGTCTCAGAGTGGCTTCTGGGCCAAAGCGTTGCCTGAGGAGTTTGCCAACGAGGGCAACATCATTGCCTTCTGGGTGGACAAGAAGGGCCGCGTCTTCTACCGGATCAATGAGTCAGCCGCTATGCTTTTCTTCAGTGGGGTCCGAACGGTGGACCCACTCTGGGCCCTGGTGGACGTCTACGGCCTCACGCGGGGTGTCCAGCTGCTAGGTGAGTGGCTTCCCTCTGCTCCATTAGTTGCAGGTGCTGGGACTGACCTTCATTCCCATGAGTCATGGCGGCTGCCGGTGGTATCCATAAAGTTAGGGGCCCAGGAGCCACGTTACGGCTTTCCCATGAACTGCAGTGTGCTGTTCCTGGCCACAGCTTTGGCAAGTGAGGCCTAGCCCTCGGGGTGCTCTGTGAGTTGAGAGCAACTTTCACCCACCAGGAGTGGCAGCCTTGTTCATTGCTCTCAGTAACCATTGTCAACCGAAGCCTAGGCGTGTCTTATAGCAACCCTGGGCCTCTATTGGAGGAGACTCACATTCAAAGCTGTTAAGTCCTTCGTGGATGAGTGGTGAGGCCAGCTCTGCACACTTGGTCTGCCCAGCCCTTAACTAAGCCCTAGCCCTGGCCTACAGTCCCAGTGGCACCCAGACTTCATGCTTACCCAAGAGCTTTCTGCAGGGATTTTAAGGGGATGAGAGAGGGGAGCAGTAGGCACCGGGAGGCTCAGACCCCTCAGAGGGAAAGGACAAATAGGCTATAGGACCTACCATGGGGACATCAGAAGATGGGGACCTAAGCAGCAAAGGGCAGACTTCTCGGCCGTGGAATTGGCCAGGACTGCCAAGGGCATCGGAGAATCTGATGGCGTAAGGTGATCACCAATGAGCTGGTAACGGAGGTGAGAGTTTAACCCAGCCTGTCTTTCCAGCTTGATCTGTGTGTACATATATATTCAAGTGTGTGCTTGCAGGCATATCAGCTCTGCATACAGGCAGAGTCTGATCAAGCCTCAACTTCCTCATCTGGAAAATGGGCCGTGGGAAGAGTTAAAGAGGCTGAATAAAGTTAGCTGGCACTGTCCTAGATATCAAACCTATGTCTAGCCGGACACTTGCTGCTTCTGTCCCCATCCCCACTCCCTTTCCCTTGCAGAGAGAAATGCCATAAAGGGGGTACAAACCTGGTTTCCGTTTTTCCTTTCTGACTTCTAAGCCTGGAAGCTGGGAATGCTTTCGGAATGCTTCCCCTTGCATGAGACAGGACTGTGAAAGTAAAAGCACAGGCCTGCGTAACTGCCAGAGGGCTGCGGGTTTAGTTCCAAACGTCAGGAGGTTGTTTTTATTAACTAGCAGTTTGGGAACTTTCTGTTTTTCAAGTCAATAAAAGTGTGCCTGCATTTATGCTGACATATTGAGAGCCCAAATGAGCTATTCCTGGTGACAGCTACTGAAGAAGGGTATCTGGGCTGACTGGGAGGCCTCCTCAACTTCCTGTATGTACAAGGGACACCTGAGGCCTCTATTTGCCAGAAATTGTGTGTCTTAGCCAGAGAGACAGATCAGGCTGGATCCTGGTCTAGCCTGCAAACAGGTAGCAAGCCCATCTGTACTGTGTGGCAGTAAGAACCGTGTTGAAGTGATTGTCAGTCATCCCTACCTGTCCTGGGGAAGACGATGCTTAACCCAACTCACATGAATCCCTTCCTGCTGTCCTGGTGCCCCCTGGGTCTCACACTGTAAGGCAGTAGCATTCCAAAGCTTAAGTGTGAGCCCCAACCCACTCAACCCAGTCCAGACTCAACCATCTCCTTGGAAAAATGTCTTGGAGTCCCATGTCTTACCCAGGTCCCTGCCACGTGGCGGGAGGCAGAGAGTGAGTGACTTCCTGCTCTTGAGGTGATCTTGCTGGGTGAAGGTGAAGGAGGAGTAAGCATTACTCTTCATCCTCCCTAAGCAAAGAATACTCCTTCCTCCCCCCAGGAGTGAGAATCAGGCCCAGAGCCCCCAGCATGCTAGGCAGGTGCTCTCCCACCAAGCGGGAGATCTTTTCATTTTGAGACAGAGTCTCACTGGGTTGCCCAGGCTGGCTGTGAACTTTGTATTCTCCTGCCTCAGCTTTCTATGTGGCTGAGATTACAAGCCTATTCCACCAGGTCCAAGAGTGCTTTTCCTCACAGTGTCCACTCTGGCCTGAAGGCCCAGCTTGGAAGCTGCCTCTTCCCTGAGGCCTCTGGGTAGAATTTTCTTTTCTATCCTCTGAAGTCTCGGGAGCCTTGTGTCTCTGTCCCCACAGGACAGGCGTTCCTTTGAGGAAGGGACCCAGCTCTTACTCTCTTTAGAGAAGTGGGTCTCAACCTGTGGGTCCACAGCCTCTTTTGGGGGAGTGGTGGTGTCGAACAACCATTTCACAGGGGTGGCCTAAGGCCACCAGAAGACACATATTTACGTTACAGTTCAAAACAGTAGCAAAATCAGTTATAGAGTAGCAATGAAAATTATTTTACTGTTGGGGGTCACCACAACCTGAAGAACTGTATTCAGAGGTTGCAGCATTGGGAAGGTGGAGATACCCCCGCTGTGGACTATCTCAGCCAACCTTGTAAGCCTTGCTGGGGACAGGATGCGGGATGGGAGGGGAGAGTGGAGGCTTGCTGAAGGGGAGGGGAGGCCTGGGACTTGTTAGCTGAAGAAAAGAACAGGTGGGTGGGGATAAAGGAGACCAGCCCTACCCTCGGACAGTCCCAGGCTCACTGGACAGTTAGGGAGGCAAAGGAGACACCAAGACTCAGTCAACATACAACCTGGGAGGGTGGTAAATTGCTAACCTCTGTGGTCATAGAATCCCTTCCGTCTACCCAGCCGCTTCCATCATTAGCTCACTTAGCCTCTCGGCAGGCCTAGAAGAGTGTTTTTCATCCCCATTTGGCAGGGAGAAGACTGAGGTTTGAGGAAGGCCTGGCCTGCCCATGTAAGGATGTGGGCGAGCTGGGTCTGAACAAGGAGTTCCACGATAAAGCGGTGCCTTTTCCGTGGCCCTTCAGCAGGTTTAAACAAAACAAGGGAGGCAGGATGTCAAGGGAGGCTCAGGTCTGTGACTTCTTGAAAGAGGAGGCTCAAGCTGGACCTACATGTTCCAGGAGACTGTGGGACGGGGAGGAGTGTGACTAGTGGCGTGGGCCTCCGATCCTCAGGGCATTGGGGGATAGGTGGGGATGGAAGCCGGAGATGAATCAGCAGCAGGGCCTCGTGCTGGCACTGGAGCCCAGGCTGTCCAACCCAGCCTGACCCACACCCTTTCTGTGACTATACATGGGTTTGCTCTGAGTGGTTCGCTCGCCCTTGGATCTCCCCGCAGGCGACTCTGCATGCTCGATAAGGCCGGAGCCTGTGATTGCTGTCCTGCCCGTAAATCATCGCGATCCCTGGCGGTTTCAAACGGGGATTATGGCCCCTAAAGTCAATTAGCGGATTAAAATAGCTCTTCTTTTTGCCCCTCCTAAATTGATTTGTGTGGATGTATAAAACAGGAGAGGCAGAGGCGGGAGGGAGATGAGTGGCATGGATAACAAGAGAGGGTAGGAATGAAGGCAGGAATCCCTCAAGGCCTCTAAGGTGGCCCTGACTTCACTCTTACCAAGTCCTGGGATTCTAGGCCTGGGCCACTATGCCCAACATTTCTGAATCTTCCATTGTCCCCCCTCTTACCAGCTAACTCTCCTTTTAAGAACCTTTTCTCGTTTCCTTTCTTGGTGGTTCTGAAGGTGAGCCGATCTTTCCTGGGATGAATACTCCCCAGAGGTTGTGTGGCCTTTAGGAATTTCCTTCAGGTTTGACCCTGTCTCCTCCAGCTTCTCTGTGGGGACTCCACACCTTACCTGTCTGGTCTTCAGAGTACAGGTGTACCCAAGTGCCTGGTACTCTGTGCGTGTACCATCCATTAGGTATTTGCGCCTGCCCCCGGGTGAATGGCCATGTCCCTGAAGTGGACAGTTTAGAGCTGGGGTCTCACCCTCCTCAGCTGCAGCCCAGACACAATCATCAGGCCAACTCCAGGCCACTTCCTTATGTGCTGGAGCTCAGTAGCTCTTGCTCTTTCCTGCCGGTGCCCTGGCCCAGACCTGGGATGGTATCTCCAAGAATAACAGCTTCCTACCTCCAGGAAGAAGGGCCTGCCAGCAACCAAATAAACACAAGTTTTATGGGGTGATTAATACAAGAACAGATAAACTCCTCTCCTAGTTTCCTGTGATCTCCTTGTTTCTCTTAGAAATGCTAGCTTGGTGTGGAACATAGGCCTGTAATCTCAGCCCTTAGGAGGCTGAGGCAGGAAGGTTGTGAGTTCAAGATCAGCCTGGACTATATGAGACTTTGTATCTTCTAAAGGGGGGAAAACTTGGAAAAAGCATCTATGATCTTTCAAAAGGCTGGTGAGCTCAGACCCCACTCTCAAGGTCTCCTGGAAATCACGCTGTGCCCATGGCCTGGGCTCTCTGCAGAGGAAAGAGACTGAAAGGAGAATTGAAAACTCATCTCCTGACCTGGAGGACTTTTACACCAAGGGTCATGCCGTATCAGAGGTGCAAAGTGGCCCAACTCTGATTCCACAGTTAAATGTGACCCAGCGCCTACAACTGTAGGATGCCTCTAGCAATAATCCCGGGGACTTCTGTGGGAAAAGAAGCTCAGGTTAAAAGAATGGAGTCGTAGAAGGACAGTTTAGTCATAAATGGGTTACGCTGGCACAGAGCAGGGAACGAACCAACAGGGAGCCCATCCTGGGAGGGGCATGAAGAAGAAGGGCAGCAGGCTATGCCGTGTGACCACGGGAGTTGTGTACAAGTGGCCACATGGAAAGAGAGCTTCAAATTAAATGGCCCTGTGGTCCCTGTTCTATTATTTAATATAAACTGTGGCTGACAGAGGAGGAGGGCCAGGCCCACACTGAAGTGGGGAGCCAGTCTGGACATGAGGTTAGTGTAAGCAGACCTGGTGCCACATCAGAGTGGCAGTGGCCAATGCAAGAGGGCTGGAAGTGAGGGCTTACAAGAGTTCAATTCCTCCTACTCCTCTCCCTGAAGCATATTTCCAGGGCTGAGTGGAGACTCAGGTGGCATGGCATTGGGCCAGATCCTAAGAGGCCGCTTATCCAGGGCAATGGTCCAACTTTGCAGCCCTGCACTGAGAGACACCTCAGACTCTGGAGACGAGGCCCAGGGGCTG